TTTTTTTTTTTTTTTTTTTTTTTTTTTTATAAAAAACGGATAGATTATTTTACTCACCTGAATTCGGGTTGAGGTTTACTCGAGCATTTGTCTTTTAATATATATGAGCGTAATACATGTTAGCATAGATTTAATTCGATATTCTTGTTGCTTGCTTTTCCATTGCTTTTTTTTCTACATAATGTTTATCTTTTTCTTTTTCATTTTAAATATGCTTTCGTTGTCTATCTATATATGTATATATATGTACAAGATGCAATTAAATTTTTGCATATGATAAATTGGAAAATAATATATTGAGTGATGCTGATTATTTATATTGAAAAAAGAATTGCTTGAATGAAAAAAGATGCATCACAAAGATCAAATATTTTTTTAGTATAGATCGCTTAGAAAAATTAAATAAAGACATTCTAATTAATGAAAGATATCATAATATACTCTAACAGAAAAAACAATACTTTCTAGGCTTCATTTACATGATACCTGATACCATTGGACATTAATAACATTTATGATACAGTCGTCATTTATTCATATAAATTTGTTAGTTATTTGTGTGAATCGGTATTCTCCTTGCTGGTAACAGAGGGAAGGTACTCTCTCTTTCTTTCATTCTGTTCCCTAAGTATCTCAGGTTGTTGTTACGCCTGTGAAATAAACTTAGTTTTTGTCAATTTTTATATATAGAATTGTCCAGAATTACCCATGAATGCTGTTATATATACATAATATATATATATATACATATATATATCAATAATATCGTACTTCATTCTGGACATAAAATATTCTTTGAACATTTTATATATATATATAATAGAATAAAAAAGAATTCTTTTCTTACTCTTTTTCATATAGAATATTACAAAAAATTTGTTCTCCATAAGATTATTGTTTTTTTTAATAAAAATTTTATACCTACGTTAGTTATAAAATGCACTGTATTCTTTTAAATTGAATTATTTTTTAATATAAATATCGTTTTTTAAGGCAGTTGCTGGTTTTCCTGCTTTCTAAATATTTTTTTTTAATTCAATCCATAGTTCTCATATTAAAGGTGAGGAAATAATAAATATAAAAAAAATATTACTGTTTTTTTCATGGTTCTTTTTTTCAAAGTTTCTTTTCATTTCGCTTGTTATTACTCTAATACTTACAACAATTAAATTGATTCACTATCACTATACCAATGACATGCGACGCTGACTTTTAATACAGTTTTTAGACAATTTCATAATAACTTATAATAATAAACAGAATATAAGACCACATTATTTGTCTTATATAATTTTTATGTACTTTAACGTACACAACTGATTGGAACATTTTTTCGTATTCATGCATATTGAACCTTGAATAATTTATAATACATCGCTTTTCGATTTCATATAAATATCTATTTTTTTAATCGCTAATATTGAATTTTGATTGTCTCTGCCGATGTGACATTTCAATCTGCGATTAATATTTAAATTATAATTAAAATAAATTCCTAACATTATTGATAAGTTTTCTAATATTTTTTCATTTGATGTCTCAAAAACAAAAAACTTTTTTATCACCACTAAGCAGAGCATTTTATATATAACTCACGCAAAAATTGAGCTCTACATGTTAAAACTACATATAAATTGATTCATATATATGTATATGAAATGAAATGTCGCAACAGTAAGACTGATCTATTATATTATAAGTTTGTTTTTTGTATTAATATATTTTCAGAATCAAAATATCGCATTATTAAACGCATAATAAGGGAGGGCATCATATTCTGATACACGATTCTTTTTTTCAATTCGGTTAAATGTAAAACAAAATACACCACAAAATACAATTGCTTTTTCTTTTTTTTTATACAGAATATAAAATATTCATTTTTTTTATATTTAAAATTTTTTAATATCATTGAGCTATGTATGTGTATGTTCACAATGATTAACCGATTAATGACTTTACAAATAGCGTAAATATCTTTGTCCTTAATAATTACAATGAAGATAATTACGATTTAATAATGTTTCACAATCGCAGATTGCTTTTTAAGATACAGAAAAAAAAAGATAAACTGTACATCAACTCAACTTAATTCTAAAGTAATATCGTTAGCCAAACATGACAAAAAGAATAGAATGCTATACTGCTAAGTCAAGTATAAAATGTTCATGTCATTTATACTTTTTTTTTTATAATTTTTTATAATAATTAAACAATCGTTTGGTCTTACCGCGTCTTCCATGCGCGCGACAAAGATAGAAAATCACAAATTTCATTAGAAAGCATTATTCTTTTTTTCAGCTCACTTTTTTCATTTGAATATAAAAATTTGTCATAGTGACAAATAAATTATTAATTATAAAACACTTAGTGTTCATGACAAATAATATTTGTCCAACTTTTTCACGCGCTAGGAACGATATACTTTTATTTTTTAAATTTGGAAAAAAGAAATGTTATCTAAATATTTAGAATTAAATAGTTGTATGTGTAATTTAATAACGTCGCTGAGACTGGGCGTTTTGGTAACCAGCACTGCCACCTGTAAACAACCATAGCTTCTCCGTTCAATCATCTTTTAAGTATAAATTTTTTTAATATGATTCTGTGTATTTAACATTATACTATATATTAATCTTCATATAAAATTGAATAATATATATACTATATATTTGCCTACTTTTTGAGGTACATTTGTCTTCTTTTTCTTTTATTATTATTATTATTATTATTATTATTATTATTATAATTATTACTATTTATTATATATTAAATTTTTTTTAATATTACTAAAACAAATCTTACAATATCTATACTTGCCACTTCATTTAATAGTTATAATTTATTATCGAAGCTATGAATTGTTATATTTATTACTGTTTGTAAAAATATAATAAAAAGTCCTATGCTATGTTTTTACTTCTTGCAGTTAACATTAAATGTTTCTATTTCTTCATCATAAATTGAAAAATTCACGATAGGATTTTGTTTTTATTTTCTTTCAAATATCTTCATTTCATTAAACTAGCAAATGTGATCGTTTTCTTGGTGGTATGTTTAAACCCGATCCTAAGTATTTTATTCACGGTAAAATATTGCCTTTCAGAAGTTAAAAAATTTTTTTGGATTGTAAATAGTACTTACCATAATCTTGTTTTCCATATACACCATCTTGACTCGAGTAATCTGTAAATATAACAAATAAGAATTAGAAGTTATCAATTAACTATTTCAATTAATGTAGATGTGACTCAGACGAGAAAAATCTGTAACTCACTAGATTTAAAACTTCAATTGTATTTTATTTACCTATGTAAAAGCGAATTTTGTGAAATATTAATGTTTTTTTTGCTTGGGTGTGAAAATACTGATAATACAGTATTATTCTGGAATGAAGAATGGCAGGAGGCAGTGCTGCAGTGTTGGTATCCAGACGAAAATAGCCACATTTTTTTCTTTATCTTACCAATTTTTGTACTAGTACTTCTTTTTTTAAATGGAAAGTTGTGATATCCAACTTCATTCAAACTAATAGATTCAAAGATAAAAGTGAAATAGAATCTATTATTTAAAATTCGTTTTAAAAAGAAAGTAAATTTTCAATTTTTGATAATTAAGCGTTTCTCGTCTGAATCGATTCATATTTGAAAATAACAAGTGCTTTAATTCAAAAGTATAAAGAAAAAATATATAATTTTTTATTTTCTTCATTTTTCTTCTTTCTCCCTTTTTTTGAAATGAAACCGAGGAAAAAATAAATACGTGATGTAAAACGTGGTGTCGAACGGAAAAAACTAACCATAAAGTTGTGTCGAGTAACCACCCCTGTTGGTCATAGAAGTGGCATTAGAAGATCGGTCATCGTAAGAGTTAATGGGGGCATAACCTGCACCCCCACCCCCTGCTACTGCTACCACTGCCTCCTGCTGGTAATTGGCTGTGCACGCAGTATATTATATTAATTACACCACGAAGTTAACAATAATATTGCCCTTTATATTATTTCCGAAAAGGAATTTCTTAATTGTTTTTTAATTTCGACGACAGAATTTAAACTATAAAATACGATGAGTTCATATTATTATAACTATAAACTAACCTGATGGTGGTGCTTTGCCATAACTGTAAGGATCACCAGCACTGAAAGCTCCTGTAGCTGGTACAGTAGGTGCTCCACCATACCTACTATCAGTAGCTGCTGATGGTGGATATCCCTAAATAAAATTATATAATTTGTTTAGATTCCATTCTTTTCATTTTTGAATTAATAGCATAAACTAGCTTACAGCTGTTTGACCATAATCTGGAGGTTGCTGATAACTTTCATAACTTTGATATGATGATTGAGTATAATTTTGTGATCCATAACCGCCACCATATCCCACAGGCTGTTGCTGTTGTGGTTGTTGCTGTCCTCCACCATAGGCATTGCTAGTACTTCCTCCATATCCGCCTTGACTATATTATAATTTTTTTGGTAATAAAATTTTTTATTTTTATTACATTAAATCTATCCAAGTTAATTAAATACCTTGGTGGTTGTGTCGCATAACCATTTGCAGGTTGAGAAGATGGCTGATCAAATCTTGGTCTTTTTGAAGGTCCACTTGAACCTGGAGGTCCACCACCTCTTTTTGATGGACCACCACCACCGCGTCCACTACCTCTGCTTCCACGATCTCCAAAACCTCTGCCTCCTGGACCACCTCTCCCAGATCCTCCTCTGAAATAATGTAACTTTTTTCTTTATATAATTTTAAATTTAATAGAAAGAGGTTATAAATTTTACCTAGATCCTCCTCTGCTGCCTCTATCCATTCCTCCTCTACCTCGAAAATTACTATTACCTCCACGATTGTCTCCTCTACCAAAATCACCTCTTCCTCTACCTCGAAAACCACTGCTTCCACCTCCTCTACTGCCACCACGTGGTGGACCTCCCATTCCTGGCAATGGTGGTCCACCACCTCCTGGACCACTAGACATTCCTGGATCTGGTGGTCCTCTGACATAATAATATAAATAAATAAAAAGAACAAAATAAATTAAATAAAATATAATTATATTTAATACCCAGGAGGAAAATGTCCACCACCACGACCACCTCTACCAGGAGGACCACCTCTGCCTCTCATTCCAGGTGGTCCACCTCTCATACCACCTCCAGGTCCACTACCTCTACCACCTCTCATCATACCTCCTCCTCCTCTTGGAGGTCCACCCCTATAAAAATAAAATATTTTATATTTTGTACTACTATTTATATAAAGTCTTTAAAAAAATGAAGTTAATTAAGTATCTTATATTTTCTCATATATATTGCAAGTTACATTATATATATATAAGTTAATGGTAAATATATATAGATATACCTTCCCCTGTCTCCGAAACCTCCGCGTCCTCTCATAGGACCACCGGGACCACCACGACCACCGCGGAATCCACCTCTACTAGCTGGTGCACCTTCCATTTATAGATATATCTAATATTTAAAATAAAATTTCTCAATAAGGAATAAGAAATATTGATTACAGTATAGACGCTAAAATTTTTAATGAAATATATGAAGTTTTTTTCAATCACAATTATTTTCCGCATACACTAAACGATTCATAAAAAAAAATTCCAATAAAATGCACATTATATGTTTACTTAAACGTACTTACATTTCACTTATTTCTAAATAATCTTTTCATAAATACCAAACGCGCCAATCTTAGACAATCCAACAACGAAAATGGACGCCGGTTGCCGGAAAAAGAAGCATCGACCACACCACTCAAATTACTATACTGATATATTACCGGATATCCTATTTGTTTTGAAGCGTTTTCATGTACAGCAACATTTTAAAAAACATAACCGAAAGAGAATATTTGATTCGAATAGCAATATATAAATTTAATTGCTTTAAACATATAAAAGAAATTTAACTTAAATTACATTATTAAATATATTATTATAAGATTTCTAGGTAATTTTTTAAATATTTTGTTCATATATATTTGCAATTATTCAAAATATTTTTGATCTTAAATAAAATATTAAACGTTTAAAATTATTTTTATGTAATAATATAATGAGATTCATGAAAATTTATCTTTAAATTGTCAAAGTATGGTGAATAAGTATACCTATGGATTCAACCTATAGTTAGATATATGGGGAAGCGCGGGATTGGTTAAGAAATTGAGATTTAAATATTGAAATCCGTTGCTTGTCTTCCGCATGACAAAAACAGCAAAATTTGTATTTGAGAAGAAAGTTAGCATTGAATATATTTCTTTTCGTGGAACATACAAGTAACGTGAGTAATATTAACCAGAACGCGACGTTTTACATCATATAGTGCACAATCCAGCCAAAAAATAATACAAGATGTCAAAAGACGAAAAAGAATGCGTTATTCCTGACGTGATATACGATGTAAACTCAGGAAAAAGTTATATCAAGGGACGATTTTTTGGAAAAGTAAGTATAATTTTTTTTTATATTTTATATTTTTTATATTAAAAATTTATTAACACTTTTATATTTCTATCTTTTTGGATTAATTTCAGTCCGATAAAAATTATATATCAAATAATTTTTTATTCAATATGTAGTAATTTTTAATACTTGTTGCTTTTTTTTAAAAATTTTATGGAATTTTGATAAATATATAATAAAAATAACCGACTTTTTTATTTATTTATTTATTTTTATTTAAATCTTAGTTAAATAAATTTTATTAAATACATAAAATATAAATTTTTAACAAAACATAACTCAAATTCATTGTATTGAATGCTATTTAATATAAAGAATTATATATTGCAAAAAATTATTATATTATATATTTTAATATCTTTTACACATGTAGTTTTTATTTTTTGTCTTTATTTGTATTTTATTTTATATTATATATATATTTTATTTTATATTGTATTATATTATATTAATTATTTTATTTATGCTTTATACGTCTTATTTAGGGTGGTTTTGCAAAATGTTATGAAATTAGAGAATCAAAGTCACATCGTGTATTTGCTGGAAAAATTGTGCCAAAGTCACAAATTACAAAGAGCAATCAAAGAGAGAAAATGACACAAGAGATTTCCATTCATCAAACTTTGAACCATAAAAATATTGTAGGCTTTTATGGTTTTTTTGATGATCCACAAAATGTATATATAATTTTAGAGCTATGCAGGAAAAGGGTAAATTTTCTTATAATCTTTTAATTATAAAATTTTTTCAAAAATACAAATATAATTAATCTTTGTTTCGAACATACAAATAAAATAATTTTATTTATTTTTGTTTTTTGTTAATATTAAAATGATATTTAAAAATATCAATTTTAAATTTAGATATCCATTGCTCTAAAAGTTATGTGTATATAAAAAAAATTATTTTTAATATGATTATTTTCATGCTATATTGTTATTTATAACCTATACAGGCTATAAAACTAGTAGTTTACTTTTGATCTACGTACCTAACTAAAATCTAGCTTAAATCTAATCAAAATAGAAACTCAAACTATAATTTAAATTAGATTAAAATTTATAATTTAATTATTATTAATTTATTATTTAATGAAATTAATAATTATATAATCAATTTAATTATAAATTAGATTCAAATATAATTATAATCTAAATCAAAATCATATTTAGTCATAATTTAAATAAAATTCAAATTTAATCATAATTTAAATCAAATTTAAATTTAAATATAAATACAATAAATGAAATATGTACTATTTATCGGTACAATCGAATTTGATTGACCCGCCTGTATAATGAGTTTATATGGACGAAACCAATATGGCGTCAAAATATATATAAATACTAACTTTCATGTACGCGTAATTTTTAAATTGGCATTCTAAATTTAAAATTGATATTCGATGATAATTGATCGAATATTATTAAAAACACAGAATGTTAATAATGATATTTAATAATCCAAAACGAAATGTTATTAAAGTTATATATGTATTATTAAAATGGAAATTATATTTTCTAGTCAATGATGGAATTACATAAACGTAGAAAAGCACTAACGGAATGCGAAACGAGATATTATATGAAGCAAATTTTGGATGGTGTCAATTATTTACACCAAAATAAAATAATTCATAGGGATCTTAAATTAGGTAACTTATTTTTGAGTGATGATCTACAGGTTAAAATTGGTGATTTTGGTTTAGCCACCAGATTAGAACATGAAGGAGAACGTAAAAAGTAATTGATCTGTTTATTTTTATATTTCAATATTTAATATAAAATTAATATGAAAAAAATAAATTTACTTTTTATTTTATTAATAGAACTGTGTGTGGTACACCTAATTATATTGCACCAGAAATTTTAACTAAAGCTGGACATTCTTATGAAGTTGATATATGGAGTATTGGATGCATTATGTACACTTTGCTTGTAGGAAAACCTCCATTTGAAACATCAAGCTTAAAAGAAACCTATGCTAGAATAAAACAAGTCCAATATAAAATTCCTACACATATCAATACAATTGCAATGAATATGATATCTAATATGTTACAAGGAAATCCATCTAAACGTCCTTCCATAACAAAATTAATGAAAGATCCATTTTTTACTTGCGGTATATATCATCAAATTTTGTTAAAATATTATAGAATAATATTAATATTATTATGAAATATTTTTATTGATTGTTTTTTAAATTTTATAATAGGATTTATGCCACTTAGCTTACCATTATCATGTTTAACAATGGCACCTCGCCTAGATATGTTAGAAATGCATAATCAACGTAAACCATTATCTGAAATGAATACTAATGTAGGAGGAGAAGGACAAGATTTTGTATTCCGCGTACCTAATAGTCCGGTGCGTAAGACAAAACCCACCGATGCAATTAGTGAAGTTCAAAAACTGAATCTTGATATTAGAAAAATGCTTCAAACATTGAGAGAACAGCTGAGTGCTGTATTAAAGGCTAAACCAAGTAGAGAAACAACTTCATCAGCAGGTACAATCATCCAAGGATTAAATTTTATTATTGCGTTTTGCATGGAAATTTTCGTTTATACTTACGGAAATTATTTCCTGATGCAGAATATTCAAGACCTTATCAGATTTTTGCGGAAACCTCAGGCACGAATCTCATGTCCTATTCTATTTCCCCATATTATTAAAACTAACATTTTTTTTTAAATAATGATAATTTTATATTATTTTAATGATAATTTATATAATATAAACTTTTAATTTAATATAATCAAACAAATAATTGAAAAATTTTAAGTATAAATATTTTATTTTAACTATTCAGATGAAATGACTGATCCAGCTGCACAACCTGTTGTATGGATAAGCAAATGGGTTGACTACTCGGATAAATATGGATTCGGATATCAACTTTCTGACGATGGTGTGGGTGTAATGTTCAATGATGGTACCCGTTTAATAATGCTAGCCAACTGTTTCAATATTCATTATATAAATCGAGAAGGAAACGAATTATATTACACAGTCAAAGAATATCCATCTGAATTAGAGAAGAAAATGAGGCTGATGAATTTTTTCCTAAAATATATGAAAGAACATTTAATGAAGGCCGGATGTTCTTTTGCGGTAAAACCATGTGATGCTATGTCTAGGATACCATACATGCATCAATGGTTTAGAACACAAAGTGCTGTAGTTATGCAATTGACTAATGGAACAGTACAAGTGAGTAATTAAATATTCTAAACATATTTTTTTTTAAGTTTTAAATTAAATATAATCATTAATCCATATCTTTTTCTTTCTTTCTTTTTTTCTTTTTTTTTTTCTTTTTTTTTTTTTTTTTTTTTTTTTTTTTTTTTTTTTTTAGATAAATTTCCTTGATCATACAAAGATTATTATGTGTCCGCTAATGGCGGCTGTTACATATATAGACACAGAGAAGAATTTCCGAACTTATAGATTCCAAACTATACAAGAAAATGGATGTTGTAAAGGTTTAGCTAAAAATTTGGCATACGCTCACGAAAAACTTGTATTAATGTTATCGAACCCTCAAACTCGATAATTATGGCTTGAGATCAAATGTTTTAAGAAGAGAACAATTCTGATACCAGTATATTTTA